GGGCACACTTCCCACCCAACCACACAAACGTGGGGAACCTTGCATTTTCTATTATATTGGCCACCTATACTTCTTTTGTCCTATGGATGTTTTATTATGATTTGTATATGGAATGGGAGAGAGAATTCGGGGTTTTTAGAACACACACACACACACGCACACACACGCACACACACGCACACACACATTGTGGAGTGGTGTATAACGAACATGTTAATGCCCACATACACGGGGGGGTGAAGCAAAAAGGAGGAGAAATCAATGCCGACTATATGCACCACATCTATCAATTTCATTTCGAGTTACCTGTCTTTTCATTCTTATTTTCCCTTTCCTCTCTCTTTTTTCGTCCCTCTCTTTGCCCCCTTTCATCTGCACATCACTGATAAGGAACCACACAGATTTCTTCTTGCAGATCGATTCCAGTCTCCTGCTTCACGCGCTGTTTAATCAATGTGATCAAGACCGACATGTCCTTTGACGTGCATCGCCCTTCGTTAATCAGAAAGTTGGCATGAAGGTCGGATACCCTCGCATCACCGACTGCCAAGCCTTTCAATCCCAACTGATCGATGAGCGCACCTGCTCCTTGACACCCTTCACCAGGATTCCGGAAAACACATCCTGCAGTTCTCTTCGTTATTGGCTGGCTTGACTTCCTCCTGTATAACCCGCACATTGCAAAACAGAAACTCTAAATACACATTCGCTTCGCAAGCAACCAATCAATGGGAACACAAATTTTCCTAGCTACAATAGTAGGACAAGCGTATATGAGCAAAGGCAAAAGCAGAATTACAAAGCCAAGGGCAACACTGGCACTGAAGTCTCTTGATAGAGAATTCTCAACTTTTTGCCTCCATGTACTCAATACGCTCACAATGTTGCCGCTCTACTATGATGAGACCACCTATCCTACTCTCCTGCTCTCTCTCTCTCTATAAACCCCCTACTTCTCTCACTAACAATCTCCCCTGTCCTCACTCCTTTTGCCGAGCAATGCTGCAAGTCTCACCGCCTCGAGTGTGCTCCTTGGCTATCACCAGGTAAATCTGCCTGTCCCCACCACTGTCCTTCCTTCACCCCCGACTCAGCGCCAACTCACTTCCAGCCCCGGAGCAGCTACGGCTGCCGACCGCTGCTGCTCCTCACCTTCTTCCTTCAAAGAGTGCTGGACGGGCCACTGTGCGCTCGTGTGGAGCTAGCGCGAGCAGCCGGTATCTCCGAAGATCAGAACGCTGCAGCCTCCTCCCTTTTGTTACTTCCTGGAGGCCACGTGTGAGTTTCTGAGAAACAACTGCTCCTGAGTTCGAGTTCCAGCCTCTGCAGCTA